GGGGGAAAAATCTCAGATGTGAAAACACAGGTAGGTATAACAATGCTCATTAAACATTACTTAAAACTACAAGAAATGTTCCATATGTATAAAATGTGATTGTCTACAGTACTCTAAACCCAAATATCAAAGTAGTTTTTAATGCTAGTGGGGTGTGTTTACAAAATTATGTGAAAAGGCAAGAAACATGTGACATAAAGAAAAAGCAGTTTATCTCAATATGATGGCATTTTTCCTTAGTGATAGAATTATTCCCAGTATTTCCCTGTCTTGTGTACTTTTGCACATATATATTACAAAATGAGTTAAATTAAAAGTATATCTTCAAAAGGTTTTATAACCACATTTGAATGATCTATAAGATAACCAGAGAATGTGTATAACTGAAAACAAAAGTCTTCTTTGAATACAGTTTACTACTTAGAAGTCTATGAACTTCCATTTCTTAAAAGGCCTATCTTGATAATACCCTCAGATTCTTTAAAACATATTATTATATATTTATTTTTCACAAAAAGTACTACTTGATCCCATTTTAAGCTTTTGCTTCCTTGAAAACAAGTAATTCCTTACATTAACTAAGTTAAATTGTGAACCAGAAATAAGTCCCACTCTCACAGTGTCAGATAAATATAAATAATATTTCCTTTTATAAACATTAACCTCTAAATTTATGACATAGTAATCACAATAATCTTAAATTACATTTTTTGGGGGTACTAGGAATCAAACTCGGGACCTTGCACTTGCAGGGTAGGCAGCGGAACCACTGAGCTAAATCCCCGGCCCTTAAGTCACATTTTTCTTTTTAAATAATAAGCAAATCTAATTTCCCATAGGATATATTAAAAGGTATTTTTTAAAAGTCTACTCAAAATTCATGTAACCAAACTTTTGTTCTCCCTGGCATATTATTCCACAGTATGAGGCAGTTGGGATTGTTATGTATGGTCTCACATTTGTACAGCCAGTAAACTGGCCCATCAGCAACAGGGCTGGTAAGGTTTGCCTGGTCAGTCTATTGATTTTTCAGGGTGATAATGGATTTGCATTGAATTAACTTCCCTGTTTTGTCCATGCTACCCTTTGGAGGATGGTAGCTTGCACCTGGAGTGGGTGTGTGCCAGGAGAGCAGACAGCACCCCATCGCAGGCAAAGCTGTTTCACCTGACGACTAACTTTGTGGCCATGAACTTGGTCCCATTTAATTTGTTTTGTCACCAGCTGACCTAACTCATATTTGAAACAGGATTATGTAAACTAGCACGTTCCAGAGTTTTTATGTTTTTTTCACAAGAAATATCACCGTTAAATTTCCAAAATATTTCCTATTATGTCATGGATGCAGAAGGGCTTTATAGGAAGACTGTCAGAAAAAAAATATTTCAAAAACATGTAAGTAAATTCAACGGTGTGAAACACAGTAAGTTTTAGCAATCTGGAAGTGAACTCTGAAGCAAAATGAAACATTCACACAAAGCAAAAACAATAAAACATTCACCAAAGCAATAGCCTTTTTAAAATTAGTCATGAAAACTTCAAAGATCTTAAAATAGGTAAATGGTAAGCGCATCATCTGGCCAAAAGACCACTACATGGGAAGTCTAGAACCCTAGGATCTTGCCTTGGCTTTTACTCTTTACGTCACAATTATCAGTTTCTCATTTGTAGAATAGGAAACTGGGCTTGACATGTCTAAGAGCCCTTCCAATTCTGAAATACTGAGATTTATATTCTTGTAAATTATATAAATCATATATTTAACACTTTTTAAAATGTGGATTTTTTTAACCCATGGCAAAGATAGAACTGCTAACATGTTCTAAGATAAAACACAAAATTTCAAAACCTTCCTTTTGGATCAAGTCTCTAAGGGTACGATTAAAAAATAACTGTATAAAGCAACTGCAAAGAGCTGCATTTTCTCAATTGAAAGGAGACAGGATCACCTGGACAGTGCAGAATATATTTTCTTTAACTAATTACTTCTAGTGCAGCACTGCAGTATTGTTGAGTTTTAAGACGTTAAGGTACTTGTCATACGCTATCCAGAACTCTAATTCTTTTCTCTTCCTCTTAACAAGCCCTCCCAAGTGTAAAAGTGAAATCTGAATTTCATCTAATAAATGTCTGTCTTCACTTTATAGTGTTGTGCTGCAGGTTGTATGACTGAATGGATATGAGAGCAGGAAGAAAGCACGTGGCAAATTGTTTTTAACCTTGCAAATTCTCATAGTGTCTCTTGTAATGTAGTTTTTGGAGAAAAAAAGTAAAAGCAGAAATAATATAAGAAATGAACTCTTGCATAGAACTCCAAAGCCTCTAACATCCTCAAAAATTAACCCCCATAATAGAACATCAGGCCAAAAGGCACAGAGTAAAATAATTTGCAAGAAGACAGTCATAGTTAATTTGGTTTTTCTTTTTTATAGCCATTTTAATCTGAAAAACAGAAAACAAAGATATATTATTTCTAGTTAAATATTGGATGAGCATATTCCATATGCATTTTTCAATCAACATATTTCAAAGGAATTTACCAATTGTCATTTGCTCATTTATTTCAGCTCAGATTTTCCTTTCACTTCTGTAAGTATATAGCCCCCTTCCCTTAAAAAAAAAACCTAAAATTTAAAAAAATTCCACCAAATGTGTTTCAAAGTTTCCTTGTTTTGTAAGAAAAATCTATCCACTGCTGTACAAGTGTGTCTTATGGGTCACCACTGACCCACCGTCATAGCAGCAAAATTGTTATTACAAAATCGAATGCTGCAAACAGAATGATTACAAAGGAACAGGTGAGTTACAATTCAGTCAAATAGCTGTATTATCTTAAAATCTGTGTGGTTTTATATAGAAATTTATTGGACATTTTAATAGCTTTTTAAATTAAGGAATACTTTTTTTTTTTTTGTACCGGGGATCGAAGTCAAGACCTTGTGCTTGTGAGGCAGGCAGCAGAACCACTGAGCTCAATCTCCGGCCCAAGGAATAAAAATTTTCAAGTATTTTTCTAACTTTGTTCAAATGAAATTTTTAAGGGATACTTATGAAGGATGTTTTCTTCAGAACAGTTAAGCTCAGCAATAAAGTACAGTACTAACCAATATAAAATTTGAAAACTGAATTACTTACTTGTAGGTTTCCAGGAACAATAATGCATAATGGTGAAGAACAGTGTTTAAAACAAGCATATTTGCTTTATTCTGAAGTCATGAAACTTTTGTTGTAAGTTCACATCTTCTACATTCTCTTAATTTACTGGATTTATGTAACAGCTATCTTATGAGGAGCTTACAATGCCTTGTGGGCTTATAGATTTCATATTAGACTGCATCAGTATCAGTTGTCAAACATTTTTTTACCTTAAGAATTCCTCTTGCTATATTTTAGAAAATAGCAAGAGAGATGTGATAGAAAACAAAGCAGTAGCAAACTGGAAAATTCATAAAATGAAGCAAGAGGGTGAAAAGTAATCATACCTTCAAAAAAGCCACTCACCTAACAGGTGAAAACTCAGCTTTATTTGATCACTGATTCATCACTGCTTTGAGGAGTTGATGAGAAAAGTAATGAATCTACTCCTTTTCTGAATCTTAAAGATCAATTTTAAACTTTAGATTATAAGATGGTAAACAATCCTTCTTAATAGAGACTATTAATATTATGTGTTGTTTGCTACAGTATCAGTGGATGTACCAAAGCCTATTCATAACAGTGTACAATCATTTATTAGATGTTTTCACTGTCTTTGGAAGGCTAGTATCTTCATTTTTATTAGGAACTAAATGGCAGCCAGTCAGTTTATGAATTTCTGGTGAACATTTAAAATCTTAAATAAAACATTAAGTACTATGTATTTAGCCTTTTCTCACATAAATATAGGCTCTGAAGTATAAATCATCAACACTATCATGTTTCATAAAATGAGTCTTATGAAATTGAAGGTATTAAACCTTCATATTCTGACTATAATGTATTGTAAACAAGGAATAGATTCACATACTTTTAGTCCTATTTTGAAAACTTCTGAATTCAAAGAAGAAATCAACAAATATTTCTAGAACCTAAGGTTTTTTATTATAAAATATGGAATTGTAAATTTTATTTCAAACATAAAGCATTGCAGAACACAAGTAACTTAAAGGTAAGGCAGGCCTTAAGACTTATTGATAAACTACTAAAAAAAAAAAACTTGTCTATTATTGATGGCATCAATTAAGAATTGTTTATTTATACCTAAATATATATTCCTCACAAACATGTATATACACAAAGCTAAGCTGAAATAAAAATATCCTAAAATTCTTACTCAACTGAACATAAGAACGAATGATTGAGGCACTTATTCATAGGCAGATGTTATCTCTGCTTATGTCCTCAGTTAAAATTCATTTAATCATGGCAATTTTTAAAGTATATTAGCTCGAAATCTGATAAATTATTGGCCATTTATGTTCCACTTTAAATGCTTTGTAAAAATATTCTGTAGAAAATCTAAGTTCCAATTTACTTTATGATCTTGGGGAACATTTTAAATTTATATTTAAAATCTTTTATTTCAAAATATTTTGAATTTAAGAGCTTGCATTTTCATACATTTATTTGCAATACATTTGTTTCACACTCTGTCCTAAAAATCCCTAATTTCATTCAGATAGTTTTATTAAGTAAATAATGTTCTGTCCTACAAACTTCATTAGTCTAGCAAAAGCCCCAAACTGTGAACTATTTATGGTACAGAACTCTTCTCTTACCAACTTCGTAAGGCTCTTGCAAATTGTTCCATGAATAGCATTAACTATGGGACCAGAAGTCTAGTCACATAAATATTCAAACTCTCTATTTAAATCCTAAAAGAATCCATTTCAAAACTATCTCCATAAGATATTTATATAAGACACTGCTTCAGTAAAATTGTCAGCTATGTTAATAATTATCACCTGAACCAAGACCACTGCCCTTAATCCATTTTTCAAATGCAAAACTTGAACACAGTGTAATTCGTTTAAGAATCTTTATTGATGTTTTTAACAATTCAGTTTGTTGGATCTCCGTGCAGTTTACAAAAAAAAACTTCAATAGTTCCATATAAACTGCAATCAAAAAAGTAATTACTTTGTCAACGAAGTAATCTGAAGTTGCAAGTTATTTTTTGTAATATGCAGAACAGTAAAATGTAAGCATGCTCTTGGATGCAGGTGCTCTTGTGCACTACGGAGTTATTTTTAAGAGCTTGCTAAGGTCTGCTGGCAGTTTATGGGATGCAATTATTTTCTCCACAATTTAGGTACATGAGAATAAAACTTATTTATGAATAAAGTATTTTTCTCAAAAAAGTTGAGGCAGCTTTTGTTGAATGCTATCTGTGCAAGTACACGTGCTACACCTTGAAATGTACTAAGAGAGACAAGACAGCAAGGAGTCCATGTTCATGCTGAAACTTCAAAGTCCTTCCACACGTGTTGAGCAGTTCCAAGAGGAGGGCAAAACACTGAACAGTTGTTCATTGTCTTACATTAACAGAACACACCAAGAAACTTAACATAACAAGCAAATCCCCTTCACTGCTTTTAAAGTCAGTGGTGTCTACAGTGGAGGGTAGAAATGGAACAAACCTAGTAAGGATAAAGCTTAAGTCTACACCTCATGCAGAGTTGTCCTTTTTCCTGTCCTCTAATGTTTCTCAGACATCTGAATTGGAACTGAGGTTTGTTAATCTGGGGTCCGCATTGATTTCATATCTGTAATGATACCCTTCCATGTGATCCCTGCAGGCATCTCTGATGTTGTGCATCCACTTTTTTATCCCCTTACGGTTCAAGTACAAAACAAGGAGGAAAATTGCACCTATCAGGGCTAAAACAATACCCAGGAATACATAAGAAGTCTGCAGGGATGGAGGGAGGATAGGATCACAGTCCAGGTCAGAGATGTTGAGTTCCACTAGGATTCGATTCCTCATTTTTTCCGGGAACGCACAGGTGAGCCTGGCTTTGCCCTCCACTATCTCGGTCTCCTTGAGCCAGTTCACCATGTCCACCATGTGACAATCGCAGACCCATGGATTGTCCTCCAGAAACACTCTGACATGCGCCAGGCTTTGCAATTCTGCCAGGGTGCCATTGTGAAGGACCTTGAGCGCATTGTCTTCTAGGTGGAGGCTTTCTAGATGTGTAAGGTTTCGAAAGGACAGGTAGGTCAGGCTCACCAGGGAATTGTTACTCAGGTCCAGGTGCCTGAGGCCAGGCAGTTGGGACAGCAAATCCCTGGGCAGGTAAAGAAAGTGATTGCTGGCCAGCTCCAGGCGACGGAGCCCACGAAGTGTGTGGGGCTCCTGCAGGGCCGCTGCCACCATGCGCTCCACGCTTCGGTTCCGGTCGGGGCCCCCAGGGGTCTCCACGTGGTTCAGGATCAGTTCCACCAGGGGGCTGGGGGTCGAGGCGCTGGCGTTGATGCCCGAGAAGGCGAAGGGGCTGAGGTGGGCGAGCGGGTTGTGGCTGAGGTCTAGCTGCCGCAGGCTGGGCAGGTCCTCGAAGGCAGCGGCGTGCACATTCCCCAGGCGGCTGCCGCTGAGGTTGAGGGCGGCCAGCTCGGCCAGAGGCGGGCGACGGGCGAAGGCGCCAGCGGGGAGCAAGGCCAGCTGGTTGCCGGTGAGGAAGAGGGTGCGCACATATGGGGGCAGGTCCGCGGGCACCTCGGTCAGGTTGCGGTTCACGCACTTGACGGTGCGAGCCGCCTCGGAGCACTCACAAGGCGCGGGGCATTGGCTCGACAGAGGAGGCTGAGCGGAAGCCGCCGAAGCCGGGAACAATGCAGAGGCGGTGGAGGAGCTCGCAGAGGAGGTGGGAGAAGACGAAGAGACCCAGCCCAGGAGGACCAGCGCCAGGCGCGCCAGCCGAAACCGCCCGTCCCCGGTGGCCGGGCCCCGAGAGCACCCCCCAGGCATCGCGGCTTGAGGCGCCCGGAGCCGGGCTGGGACGGAGCCCGCTCCGAAGGCTCGGGGGCTGGGCCCGGAGGGCGCGGGCCGGCCGGAAGCTCCTGGAGAAAACTTTCCTCTCGTGGGCGCGGAGGAGGGACACCGCGGCCGGAACTTGGCAAGCCCCTTGCCCGCGGGCGTCCCCCTCCAGGCTGACTCCCCCGCCCTCCCTTCCAGAAAGTACGCACGGCGGTCCGGACGCCCGGCTTCGCGCTCCTCCTCCTGCGCCTCTCCAGCCGCCGCCCTGGGTGGCACCTCCTCGCCTCTTTTGTTAGGTCTCTCTAGGTCCGCCGGGCGACCTGGGACGAGACAGAGAGAAGAGTGAGGAGCGGCGGCGGCCGCGGCTCCCGGCGTGCAGACACCGGCCTGGGCGAGCCGGGTCGTCCCTACCGTGTTCCCGAGACCTCTTTCCGCCTGCCCGCGCGGGCCTTGCCTTTTCCGGCCCCGCCGCTCAGTGTTACCCCGGAGAGGGACGCGCCAGCCAGGACCTGGAGCGCCAAGTCCTCCCTCTTCCCTGGCCCGCGCTATATATACGCTTCCAGCCTTCCGCCCTCCTCCTTCCGCGTCCACACTCGTCTTCCGCCTCTAACTTCTCATTAATCCCTAGCGTCTTCCCGAGCAAACTTTTAAACTTCTCGCTCTTCCAGTTCCTTTCTTCCCCGCCTCCGCGGACCACCTGCCTGGCCGGGTCTCCGCTCCGCCCGGACCTCTCCCCCACCCCCACCCTCACCCCCGGTTTAGGTTAGGATGAGAGCGAAGTTTCAGGTTATGGGAGTCTTTGGGTTTCTTTTCGTACCTTCTTGAAGGAGTAGGAAATGGAGGGCCATACACCTGGTCGTCCCCCAGCCTACGCCCCGCCAGCCTCTCAGATCCCAGAGTGGGTTCAGGTCATCTCCAAAGGGGCAGCGGGAGTCAGTGAACAAAGAGGCTAGGACCCTGGGCGGAGTGGCAATCAGGGCGGAGTGGCAATCAGGTCGGAAGCTACTCTGTAGCCCGAGGATGGGGAGGGTCCCCCGCGCCACCTCTGGGTTCCGCCCCGGCCGCTGCTCCCCGCCGCACACCTCCGCGCCCAAAGCCAACTCCAAGTGGCCCACAGTCTCTGTGATTTCCCGGCTCCGCGCAGCGGGCACCGACACCCCTCGCACCCCAGCTGCCGGCCCAACCTCCACAGCTGGGAAAAACCAAGCGGGGGCAGGGGAGGACCGGGCCCGCCGGAGGATTTTGGCTACTCTGCAGACCTCGGCAACCCTAGGTAGCAGGATTTAAGAAGAGAGAGAGTAGGGGGATTCGGGCTACGCGCCTCCTCCTGGTGGAAACGAACCAGAAACTTGCTGGAAAAGGTGAGGGAATCCCTTTTTCTTCCCCCTCGCCAGCATCCTTTGGTGGTTCCACATTTTGCATACTGTATTTACCTCGGACAGGAACAAAACCGCTGGTGAATCTCGTGGAATTCACCCTGCTTCGGGGCACCTTTGGCAGTGATGAGGTAGGTTTAGGCGTGATAGAACAGCACAAAGCAGCAGAAGAAGGAAGTGAGCTGAAAATGTGCCTTGGCAGCAGCAAACGCCCAGTAGGTTGTAAGGACGCTTCAGAAAGTCTCCCCACCAAAGTGGCACCGTAGGCTGTCAACTTCAGATTCGGGTGGAGTTAATGCTCTGCCACCTGCCTCGCCCCCGCACATCCCGGGGAGCTGTGCAACTTGTGAGCAGAGAGCAACTTTAAAAAGGGGTGATATTGGAGAACGGACTCATTCTCGATTCATTAGGTTTTCTCTTCCCAAAATTAAAAGCAGAGAGAAGAAAAGAGCTGCCAAAGCGTTTCAGAAACAAAAGGCAAATACCAACGACTTGAGTCATCCAGAAAGCGGATCCGCCCCCCTTCACCAGACGTGGCGCCGGGTGTCAGTGCGAGTCACTTAAACAGGGAGAGCCCACGGCTGAGATGGCGGGGAGTGGGGCCTGGTAGGGGAGGGTTACCAGGGAGAGCAGAAGTTTGTCCCAGTCAGTCGCCCCAGAGGGTGCCCGACAGGAGCAGGATGATGAGATTAGGGAAAGGGACACAGAATGGTTTATAGGAAGGCTCTATCGTTATACGGGAGGGATTTGAGTCCTGAAAGACATTTCCTGGCGCCAGCAAAATTCTATATCCTCTTTGTCCCACTCAAGTAATTTTCCCCAAGATGTAAGAAGGCCCAGGCTTCTTCATTTTAAAAAGAGAAAGTGGCAATTATGGGAAAGTCGGTTGGAAAAAATTAGACCCAGTATGGAGAAAAATACTGGATGCTGAAGTTTGTTCCTGGGACGTGTGTATTTGACATTGAAGGCCCGGATTCTGGATCTATAACTGATTCCTTTTGGGGAAAGAGATGGTCTGCAGAAACAACAGCAAAACGCCCAGACAAGAACTGCAGAGGCTGGAGTTTGCAGTGATTTGTGCAAAAAAGCCACTTTCATTAATTTACATTTACAGCACATTTACCTAAATCCCTTTTTCTTATTTTAAAAAATATTTTGCAGCATAAATGTGAAACACTGAAAAAATTTCGATAACTAGTAATTTTTTTATCCCAGTTGTGATAATTATATGAATCTATGAACATGTTAAAACTGACAGGATGTTGCACACTGAAGACTCAGTTCTACTAAATGAACATTTCTAAAATTAATGATTCATAAAAAAACTTTAGTAATGCCCTGACATGGTATTAAATCTGATTCTATCTCAAGAGCAACTTCTCTGGCAGAATAATGAGATGCATTTTAGTAGTTAGAAAAATAATACATATTCTCGTCTGATCCTCTAAGCAACTCAGAGGCAAGACATATCATCTGTGTTATTGTATTGTGGTTTTGGTTATTATTCTACTTTACAAATGAAAAACACCAGGGCTTGAGCTTATAATAACTAATACTGACTTACTGTCCCCTACTTGCTAGGTTTTATGCTGATTAGTTTATAGAAATTAGCTCATTTATTCCTCACATCAGAACCCAGGTCCTCTCACTTCAGTTTTACAGATGAGAAAATTAGTACAAAAAGAAATTATATAACTTGTTCGAATGAATGAATGATAAGAGGTGGGAACTAGACCCATTCTGCCTGCCTCTCCCATATATTTTCCATGTCCAACTTCAGAAAGTTTAAGGGGCTTGTGCAAAGTCCTACTCTTCTATTAGGTAGAACATAGATCTCACTCCTGGTTCTCTTTAGACTTCTTAAAGACACCACACAAACCCACACACACACACTTTCTTGTAGCCAGCAACAGGTTATGATAACTGAATGGGGACCAAGAAAGACCCTTTCTGGTTCCAACATTTATTTGCTGTGTGTCTTCTGTATATTCCCATTTCTTAATTTTTAATATAGGACCACTAGTAAAGCTTTAAGTCATTGCCATGGGAATTAATGTAGTCTATGTAACACATTTAGCGAAATCACCGGCTATTATTGTTCTCTCTTTAATTATTTTCCTACCTATCATTTATCATGACCCATTTTATCTGTGACTATGTTACTGATAGAAGTACAAGGATTGATAATTAAAAGATCTTAGAGTTGCCAGATCTAACAAATAAAAATGTAGGATATCAGTTAAATTTGAATTGCTGATAAACTAAGAATAATTTTGTGTATAAATGTGTTCCATGTAATATTTGAGATATATTTTCACTAAAAAATTGGTTTTTTACAGTTGGAATTCAAATTTAATTGAGTATTCTGCATTTGATGTGGAACAAAGTAGCTCTTAATCTGGCTGAATTAACAGATACAGAAACACAAACTCTCAATGCTGAATTAAGGGCAGTTTGGTGTATCTTTCTATTACACCTGTCATGTATATATTTTGTTTCTTTTTCTGCTATTTTTATATGAATGGGATAATTATATATTATTCATAATCTTTTTTAAAAACAACCACTTATATTTCTGTGTCTATACATATATGCATACCTTCTTTAAAATAAAATATTCCATGTTATTGATTCTTACAATTTTTTAACAGCCTTATTGAAAGATACTTAGATCAGAAGTGACTTTTTAAAGACAGTTCCTTTAAGTGAGAAAAGCTTGCTAGGATCAGTTCTATTTTGATTGTCTTGAGCATTTAATTACCCTAAATTAACATACTTTCTTTACTCTTGACAGCTTGAAAATTTTTTGTATGTAATACTTTTTACGTGCTCCAAAGCAGGGCAGGATTTCAAAGCACATTTTTCCCCATGTATTCTTCCATTCCAAAATGAAATAAAGGGAAGATCCAAATGTCCTGACAAGGAAGGTCCAATTTACTATTTTCAATAGGTCACTATAGCCTCTAGGAAAATGTCTCTACACTATCATTTATTTAGAAGATTGTTTCTACAGAAACCATTTTTCTTCTAATGATGCAAAGAGAAATCATTAGTAAATTATTTAAATATTGCTAAGAAATCCTGGGAAAGCAAGGAATAAGGTTTAAAAAAAAGATGACCGATTATAGCTACTCTCATGGTAACTAGCAGAAAGAAGCCATGAGGTCCAGCATGGACCTACACTAAGATTCTTTAAATACTAGCTAATTTTGATTCTTGTCTTAAATTAATAAAGAGTTAATACAGATGACCATTCAAATGTAAAAAAATACCTGAAACAGAGTCTAGCATTGGTGAACACTAAGCATATGTTATAAAACCATGAACCAACTCTTCAAACCAGAACCACCAACTTGAGAGTCTAATAAAAGAAAGAAAATCAGAAAGAAAATTCTATATGAAAAATAAATTTTAAACATTGTTAATTATTAAAAAGAAAATTCTTCATGAATTGATTTTGAACCACTTTAGAAAAAATGGTGTTTTCTGAGGTATGTAAGTAGATATATATTAAGTAAACTATAAACTAGGGAATGTGTCAAAAAGGACATATTATCTAATTAATACAAGGACAGTTGAAGCTAGTAAAAATATAATAAAGATGTCTCAAAATTAATTAAACATTAAAAAAATTAAAGATGGAACAAACTAAAAGGACCCTTTTAGTGGACCCTTGACTTACGAACTCAGTCGCTTCCTGAGGGCTGGTTGTAACTCAAGTTGGTTGTAAGTCAGTACAGCTGAGATCTGGATGTTTACCTGGGTACACACTATAGATAACAAGAAGCAGATGAATCTTCCATTAACCTAATTAATCCAAGTTGTTGGTATGTCAGGCAGTTTGTAACTTGAGGGTCCACTATGATAGGCTAGAAAGAATAAAGTAGCTTAAAATATGTGACTCTTCTACCATGAGGAAATATTGAAAGATGAGTGAAAACAATTGTATAGTGATATGCAAAACTCTACAAATAGCAAATGTTCTCACTCAACATTAATTCAATAAATGCTTTATGAAGACCACACCCTATGTATCCTATGTATGGTACCTATTTGGCATATTGGATATGATGGATAAACATCCCTGCCCTACACCCACAGCCCAATATATAATGGTGCAAAGCTCAGGATAGAAGGGGTAGAATATGAGAATGTCAGAAGAAGGTAATGCCTTAGCTACATTTTGAAGTATTAGTAAGAATTTGCCATTCCAAAACAATAAAGCAAACAAATTGGTGAAAAAGCTACATTTTTTTCAGTTCTGCAAACTATATAGAAAGGAACACAGCACCCACAAGAGGAAGTAGTACAAATCAGGTATGAAATATGGTGGAATCAGATTACTGACCTCCAGTTTAAAAAATGTGATTCTCCTTATAAAGCCAGGAAGCCAATGAAGAGTTCAGTGGAGAAATGATCACATGTGCATTAACTTACAGGCAGAGAAGACTGAGAATAGGGAGAAAAGTTGGGAGATCCACATCAGAGATGAATAAGAGCCAAACTAAGGAGCAAAGCAAAAAATGGAAACAAAGTCTTTGTAAATAGGGAGGGGTGGAGCGGTTGAACGGAGGGCAGGGAAATGGGGAAAAAAATAA